CAACACAGTGCTTGTGGTGATTTGATGCTTTCTCTGATCCCCTAGATCCAGTTTTCTTTCTGGGAATGATAACATCATTAACCTTAAGCACCTGATTATGTTTCTAAGGAAAAACAATGTCAATTCAGAGAGAGGATGTTGCTTCCTATCTGACACCATTGGGTGGGTCGTCTCCAAAGATCTCATGATGCTACAAGGCCTCATGATTCTCCTTCAGGGATTAGGGAAGGCACGTAACCTCCAACTTTTGAAAGATGGAATTAAGTCATAGCCAGAAGCATAGCCTCAAACCCCCAAAGCTTTTTATTTCTGAATCTCAGTGAATGATGAAATAGCACTATATACTACAAAGGCTAATATAAGGAAAATATCCGGTATGGAAATACGGTCTGGTTCCATTTTGCAAGTGTTCAGTCTTGAGGCAAGGTGCAGCATGACATTCCGTGAGAGCCGAGGTGGTGGAGTGGTTCAGAGCGCGGGGATGGGACTCCAGCCACGTGTGTTCTTGCCCCCACTCGGCATATGGAGCCAACAGCATGACCGGGCCATTCACAGACTCTTAGTCCAATCTCCCTCAATAGGGTTGTTGTTGTGGGGCTAAGACTGAGAGCAGCAGGAGGAGAGTGAAATAAACCACTCTGAGCAGGATATAAGTAAAATAAATAAATAAATTCCATCCGGCTGCAGCAGTGGGAGTGAAGGGGGAGCAGGGCTCTTTCCACCCACTTGGCTGAGACACCACCTCCCTTTGGCTCCTCTTTCCTTTCAACTTTCTGCAGCTAGCAGGGATTCCATCTTGGCATTGCAGGAATGGAGTACTGGGGGCCATTCTATCGGCTCAGCTGTGTGTCCAGCAGCCACTTGGCTCCTCCTTTCCCAGCTATTCCACAGTGCTGCAGAAACGAGCCAGTATTTTATCAGCTTAATTGGGAGACCAATGGCCACTTGGCTGGCCCCACCTTTGACCTCTTTCTGTTCAAGCTGGGCATCATGTAAGAATGATGTTACTGCTCACACTTGCACTTCTACGTGTCGCTTGCCTGCTTCCTTCCCCATCCTTCCCTCCCCCTTCTGTCATGTCTTTCTGATCACACGCCTGCAAAAATTTTGCTTTTTAAAAGAAGTTGTGTGCAGATCTTATAACGACACAACAGCGGCAGGAAAAACAGTTTTCTCTGTGTTATCTAGTCTCTGTATATTCATCTCAAGAAGCAAAAAGGTGCAAAAAAGAACCACACAAAGACTATAGACACTGGTGTGTACCTTCCCTCTATGGGAAATTTGGATGTTTAAATTTAAGGAAGGGGAGACCAAATGACTGAACAGTGTAGGGAAGGATTTTTATATTTTATAAAATCATGCATGAGGCAGAGACTACGGAAAGAGAGAACATTTTTTCTCTCATTGTATTTGAATGGACTGGCATGGATTTGGGACAGACGGAAGGAAGCACTTTGCCAAATTCAATGCCACAGGGTGCTCAGATGGCCATTAACTTAGATGGCTTTAAAAGGGCATTAAACCATTTTTATGGAGGGGGAGAATCAACTCTTGGTGGCTGTTATCCATAAAAGCTTCATGGAACCCCCATATCCAGTGGCTCCCGTTAGGGAACCGCCTTGATATATCAAGTTAGACGATCTGTCCACCTGACTTAGATTGGCAGCTATTCAGAGGTGGCAGCTGTTTCCCAGGGTTTCTGGCCAAAATCTTTCTCATCAGCTACTGGTTCCTGCTGTGTTATCCTTTTAAGTGGAGATGCATCGAACTGAAGCAGGGACCTTCTCCACATAAAGCTTGCACTCTGGCGTTGAGTGATGGTTCCCCTCTTTTCACTGGCAGCCCACAAAAAGTAACTCAGCCATGTTTGCTTAGCCATTCTAGATAACAAAAGGTTTGAAAGCTTTTTTTTTAAAATAAAAGGAGCCAATTCATTTTAGTACTCACTGCTAAAGTTTTTCCTTATCTAGAGAATTTAGTTATAATATGCACTAAAAATCCACAAAGAAGAAGAATGAATGAAAGGTCATTGCTTTTATATTTGTTTGGACAACAAATAGACAGAATCCAGACAAAACAGAATCCAGAAATATTATAGTAGAAATTATTTTATATCTACCCTAAAACAAGGTCAGAAGTGTGACTATTCCTTAGCAATATCAGCCTCCCTCCCTGTTTGGTTTGTAAAAGCATCACTGTACAACATACCACACTTGAGAAAATATCGAAGCACAGCTCAAAATGATCGTGCATGAAAAGCTTTTGCCATGTCATGCAGCTCTCATGAAAATCTGTTGTCCTCTGTAAAGAGGACGGTTTGATGGAAGCCAATGATGGCACTCGGCACAAGGAAGGCCTTTGTCTTGCATTCAGGAAAGCGATTTGACATAAGCAATGCAAGCATCTGTTTACATTTCCGTTTACACCACGTGTCCCCATTAGGCCTTCAGTTGTGATCATAGTCACTGAAGCGCAGCTGCTCTCATTGCACAAAAGATAAGATCGACGTGCCGGACTTTTGGAGAGAAAGCTCAGTCTGGAGAAAATGTTTCAGAAGCACAGCACATCTTGGAATAGGACAAGATAACACGAAAATGCATTTTCAAGAAGTTTCATGGTAGACCCTTTAAACAGATGCAACTCATCTCCTTGTTCTTTACTTCTCTGAATTCTGATTCTCCCTCCCACCCATGGGGAGAAGAAACTTGCCACTGTCTCACCAGAAAGCATCAAAACGCTTCATATTCAGCTCTCCACTCATCCATGAATCTTCCTGGGTGAACTTACTGTAGGCCTTCTTGGTGATCTAAATGCTTTGGACTTCAACTCCCATCAGTCCCAGCCATCATGGCTAATCATCAGGAATACTGGGAGTTGTAGTCTAGAGGGCCGTGCTGGGGAAGGGTTCCTTATGTTGATCAGCATCTTTCATTCTGACTTAACTCACTGGCATATTTGAGAGGATAAACATGGGAAGCGGGTAAGAACCAGATGTATTCCCTTAGCCCCTTGAGTTAGGAAGGAATAAACATGTAATAATATTAATAGGCTCCCTAGGGCTGAAGAAGCCATTTTGTCTCTATCCATCATTGCATCCTGATGTCCATCCTGTAGTGGAAATGTAGAAGGCATTTGTTGTTTTGAGGAGTTAGTGGTGCACAACAAATTGTTCCTTCTCATGTCTAGACTTCTGGCCGGGCATATTGTTTTTAGCAGTTAGCTGTGATTCTTCCCAGGGCTCATTATCTCTTTGGGACTGAAGAACTTGAGAGACTACTAGATAAGTTTCTGGCGAGCTCTCAAGGCTGATAAGAGCAGCTGGACTGGGCTTATCTTTACTGGTTTACTCCCAAACATTCTTGAAGTCATTGCACTCTGGGCCAAGATATGGGGTGGAGTTAGTATGGGTCTAATAGTATATATCAAGTCTTGTGACACTTCCAGGGTGGGGATCCTGTTACAGGCTGATCCAAAAAGGTTCTGCATTGCAAGCCAGTATAGTAATGACACCTATTATCATATTTTGATGGGGTCCTTGGCAACTCAAAGGACATAAAACCTATAATCTTGCTCTGTAGTTGCTTGCTTCCTTCTGCTTTACTCTTCATGCATTGCTGTGTTTGCTATGTTCTGAATCCGAAAAAGAATAATTACTTTCTGGCAACAACACCCCTACTGTGCTTACTGTCTGCGAAGAATATGCTGAAGCTCTTTGGAAACTGGTTCGCACCTGCTCATTAGACTTCTTCCAGTGTTCGCTCCTCTCCAAGGAAGTGAGCCAAGCTTAGAAGAAGTCCATGAGCCTTCCTGGACTCCCAGCTGCACAACCGGCAATCTTTCCAGTTGCAGAAGCTGCCATTCCCACTGGCCAACCTTCTTTGCTCGCTGCTGCCACAGTTCCATGTGGGGAAAAGAGGCACAGCAAGTGGATGCGCTGGCTGCTGTTCCTGTGTCCAGGCGTCTTTCCTGCTTGCTGCTGTCTCTGGGTGTGGAGAAATGGCATGGCTTGTGCAGTGCATGGAGTTAAATTCCTGGGAACTGCCTGCAAATTGTGGGCATGCCCACCAGGAACTTGGACTCTGGGGATCTGAAACCATGCGATCCAGCAGATTTTCCACCCAAAGCAGATTCCTCACTTGTCCCTGCTATCCACCAACAATTTTCTAAATTCTTGCCCCGCCTTTTCTTGTTTATCCACCCTGCCCCTTGCAGGATCTCTGAATAGAGCCTTTATCACTCCTTGTCACTCTCCACGGCATCTAGAATGTTACTAGCACAAAACAAGTCTTGCATGGTTGTGGATGTAGCAGAAGAACTTGATCGAAATGCATGGTCTCTCCTCCTTCAATCCAAGCAAATTTCACTGTCTTTCTTTTTTTAAGCAGGCATCTTGTTGCTTGGCAGGTTCTTTGCTGATACCAAGGCTATTCTATGGAAAGACCTTTATTTAGTGTAGCAACGACTGCCAGCTTTGATCAAAGAAGGCAGACTGACCATGCCGGGCACAGACACAATGGGAAACAAGAAAGACAATGGTTCTCTGGGTGAAAAAAGACTGAACTATTGTTCTCTGAAGCTAGAACCAATATGGCACCATGGACCTACCAAGGCAACACCCCTTATAAAACAAAGGGGGAGTTCTCCCAAATACTGGGCACAGAATCTGAATCCAGAGTTAGTTCCAAAAATACAATACTTACTTCATTCCCTGAGTATTGCATGCCCTTCTTTATTGATTAGTTTACATTCCTCTTTCTGTAAAGTCCTGTTGCAGCCGTTTCC